AATCAAGAGATCTTATCTTATTTAAAGCTCACTTATCTTGCTTAATTCTTGGAATCTCGAACTGCAAAATTGTTCATGGCGATAACGGCTGTGCATACTAAAACGTAAAGAGAATGAAGAAGGAATCGTTAGTCGGGCACGAACGAGACAATGGAAAAAGGGAGTTTTAATCCCCGACCTGTGATAAAGTACAGACAATCTTTCCGCTAAATTTAGTTTTAACTTTTGTAAGAATGTTTTCTCGAGATCACTGTTAATAGTGACAAACAAACAACAAACTAGCTAGCGTAAATACTTGCCTCTAGAAGATAGATTGCGTTGTGTGTTATTACATTCGTATACAAGAGATCCCGTGCGTGCAGTATAATTTTTTCGCTCCATGGGGATAATGTTCTGCATTGGGCGCAATGAATACGAAATGCAAACGAATATTCTCTTGTAAAACTATGCAAAACTTATCGCGGAAGTGGATTTATACCGGATATCCTATTTGTGTACACGCGGAAATTGGAAATAAAACTGTAGTACTGTAACAACAATTTTATATTCGTATTCACTGGCCGAAAGGTTGAGCAAGGTTTCAATTGCAAATAAATGAAATAGTAGTGGAGTGAAATAGCACGTAAAGTGGGAGTTTTGTTACGAATTTCGCGTTTGTGATCATCGTTTTTGGCTTGAAAAAAACTTCACATCCGCAGTAGCATCAAAATTGATTTATTTATAATATATTGAAATGCACATTGTTTATTCAAGTTATTCAAATCATAAATAACGAAATAATAATCATGATGGATATCCGTGAAGAATAAATGTTTGCGATACGATTATTTAGTTTGCGTGTCATAATAATTCATTTCTATTCATATTTAGTTAAACAAATGTCATTATTTATAATTATCTCTTAATAAATTTTAATTTGTTACTTTAATTTATATCGATATTATTTTCAATGATTACTGCCACAATAGATAAACGTATCAAATAATCATTCTAGTAAAAAAATTAAGAATTTAACGGTGCTAATTTTTATTTTTTATAGAAAACGTATGTATAAAATTACAATTTCATGTCATTTCGTACACATGTCGATCGTAATTTGCGAATTCCATCATACGTGCACATATTATCTAGTTATATCACATGAACGTCCGTCGACCGCATAATTTTCTGCTTTATGCCAGTTCCTCCTTCGGCGTACATAACATCAAAATATGAGAGTAGTCAAGCGAAATTTGCTCTTTCTCATACAAATGTCAAATTTACGTGATTACAACTTAAATAAATATGAAACCTAATGTAATGTTCCCAATGTAGTACTCGGTTATTAAATTCCCGCGAAGTTGGCTCTATTTACTAATATTATCTCTTCATAGTTCTACATTTAGCAAATTGATATAAAATGATATAATGATAAAATATCGCGTAAAATAATTCTATATAAATATTAATGCTCCAAAGCAGTTGTTCAAGAATAGTAGATTCTAGATGGGATCTAAAATAGTCGAAATGTCGATACATCAAATCACAATGCAGTTACAGAAACTATAAGATATTGCAAACTACATCAAGCCAAGTTTAATTCCTATGTCAATCGTCTTGTCAAGTGCAGACATACTGAGGGATGCGTATAATCACATGTAACGTATTCGTGAAACAGTTCAAAGTTTTGCAAAGGAAATTATATTTGAAAAAAAAACAAGATTAACAAATATTTCAATGAATAATAAAAACCAAAACATATATTTTTAATGAAATTTAAAAGAAGAGGCTTGCATTTATGAATGAATTATTAAATATTGAAATGAATACAAATTATTTCTAAGCAGAATGGAAGGATTTTATCATATTCTTTTTAACAAGAAATACTACGTTTAATATAAAATATCTATTTTCTGTCATTGTAGAATAAAGAAGCGGATATCCAAAAGCAAATGTTTAATCGGATCAACATTAATGTGATTTTGCATTACAATACAATTGTTGGCTTAAATGTTTACATCTAGTGCTTCCTGCTACGTGTCGCAATTAATAGCCATAGTCAATTTATATTATCTACTTATCACTGGACACGACGAATTAGTAAAAAATCGCGACAATCCATTTAACGCGGAAACGGTTCACTGGTTTTAACCATAAAAATTATCAATGAAATACCAGCTCGAAACACTCTGTTGCACGCGTCACCAGCAAACAATTAACTATCTTTTATTAGTAATTGTGCCTTCATAGAACAATTATTTTATATACTTTTGTGTTTCTATAAGTTTTATAAAAATTTTACGAGCTCAATATATTTAAACTAAAAATTCGGTAAAAATGCAAAATTTCTTTTATTTGTTCATCCGATTATTCTATTTGTAAAATAATTATGTATTTATTATATATATATTAATTATGTATTTTGTAAAATTATTGACTAGAATATTTCTTCTATAATTTTAATTAATTTTTTATTAATTATTTTTTTATTTAATTATATATTATATTATAATTTGTATTGCAAGGATTATAAGATCCAAAATGTAAAAATTAGAAAATTTCTGAACTGTGTAATTTGATCGCTGTAATACTTTACGGATTTGTATCTCTCCATAGAATCTTCGTAATTCTATCAGATATATATATATATATATATATATATATATATATATATACTACGTATA